CAGGGCGCCTCGAGCCCCTCCTTCTGGACCTCCAACAGTAGGGTCGAGACGGCATGTCCCTCTACAGGAGGAAAATTCAATAGTCAAAAAATGGTATGGGGACGATTTTCTTGTATTTTGCATGTTTTTGTTATCATTATGTTTGGATTTTCGCCCGACATCCGCCTGTAGGGGGACATGCCCAACCTGAGAGTAGGGCGGCAAGGAAGCGGCTGAACTTGTTCAGAAGGGCTTGCAGTTCCTGGACCGGCTGGAACTCCTGAGGCGCGCCCTGCAAAGCTGACTGTACACCTCGCTGGCCTCGCCGCTAAACCGATGTGTAAAGCTTCCTGCGCGTCCATGGCTCTGTTGTTCAGCCATCGCAGAAGTCTGGAATATGACTGCCATCCTGCTCGATGTTTAGAGTCTTCTGCCCTGGCTGACACCCATGTGATCCTTAGGGGCTGACAACGCTGGCCACGACATCTGAGAGATGTGTCTGTCTGCTGGGCTATTGAGGCTTCTTGATCTAGCACGACGACGTCGGAGGCTGTCTCCAGGGCAAGCAAGCGCTGCTGCTCTGAAACCCCTAGGTTCTGGATGTGCTACTGAAGCTGCTAGAATGCGGCTGCCGCTCGGTTCCAATCGAGGGGCTCTTTGGAGTGACCAAACGGGCGCCTGGTGGGGAGCTTCTGGGTATTGGCGAGCCTGGGCAGTAGATGAGTACAGCCTATCTCGAACTGGGCGTCGACGGGTCTATGCGACGAGAGCGGGTAGTTTGTTAGGACCTTGTCGTTATGGACCTTGTCACTGCCGGCGATGATGTAGGCCAACCAGGACTTGCTCGTCTTTGTGAAATAGGTGGGGCTTGGCGGGCAAACCAGCACGAGGCCTCCTCGATCCATCAGGTTGGTCTTCTTGACTGCTGATGGCGGCATATTGTCACCTGCTGCTGCAAGGACTGGCATGCGGCGGTGGCTCTGCATCCACCCAATGGTTGGCATAGCAAGTCGAGGCTGATCTGACCGGGGCCCGCTCAGTCCTCGAGGTGCAGGGAGAGCGAGGCGAACGGAGAGCCAACGGGGATTCCAAGTACCACCGCTGATACTCTGCTGGGAAGGATCGACCAGAGTTGTGGAGGACGATCCATGGAGAGGAACCGTGCTGCCAAATAATTTCCAGATGTCTAAAGCATGTTTCAAACATGTTTTAAATATGTAAAACAACATGTTTGAAACATGTTCGGAACATGTTTTACACATCTTAAACACATCTTTAATTTACTGGTAGGATTGTTAGAGTGTCCATTGTCATGGCATCCACAAGACTAGACCCAAGAGCGACCTTTCGCCGGAGGGACCTTTGGTGCGGGCTCGGTTGGGTCCCCCGACCGCCGAGCGCGAAGCGGTGGCAGCGGCTGGCGTGCCCAGGTTTGGCCATCCCGCGTCCCCCGTTGAGCCGCGCGCCAGAGGTCGTTCTTGCCTGGGGTCACTCTTGCGTGTTGCCGATGGTCGGGCCGGGCGAAAAGGGGGGGATAGGGAAAGGAGGGGTTACGAAATCTGCTGCATGCAGCTGGTTTCGGCCCCGCCGCCGGGCCCATTCCTCGATGCCTGGGCGCCTCCTGGCGCCGGGAGGCGCTGGGGAAATCAGCTACGTGAGCTGATTCTCTGCCCTGCCCTTTGCTATCCCCCCCTTTCGTTCCCCCCGAGATGGGAGAAACTCAGGAAGGAAAGAAACACACAGACACCATTAGTCGTTGATTCCCTGGAAAATATGGGAACATATGGGAAGTGGGGGGAAGACAGAAACCCAGAAAATATGGGAAACTATGGGGAATCTTTTTATTTGTGTGTATTTATTTGTGTGTCCCATGGCCCCTTCAAAAGCTGCGGGGGGGAAAGCTGCTGGGCGCATGCCCGGCGTCAAAAGCCTGATCGGACCAGAAGGGCAGTGCCTGTCGTTGGCCGAGGCGCTTCGCCGGGGGAGACAGGGTGAGATAGCAGCATGCCCCCCCCCCGCGTTGATGGGCCTGTTTGCCACCACCACCACCATAAGTTGGATTGGGGGAAGGAGGAGGAGGAGGAGGAGGAGGAGGAGGAGGAGGAGGAGGAGGAGGAGGCACCCTGCTTGCCTCCAGCGGCCCTGGGTTTCTTGGGTTTCGATGGTTTCGTTGTGGAAGGCGTGACGTTCCCACACCAAAAATCAAATCAATGGACGCCCTGGGGTCTCAGGGTTGGGTTTCTTGTGGACTGTTCCTTGTGGTCGAGCTCCTGCTGGAGACTGCCGTGGCCGCCCTGCTGGAGACTGCCGTGGCTGCCGAGGCCGCGGGGGGGCGCCGGTTCCTCTCGCAGGAGGGGGGGTGCGACGGCCCCCTTCCGAGGGCGGGGCCGACTGACCCGGCTGAGCGACAGCTGCGTCGGCGGCCGCGGTTGCGGCAGCCTGCTGGAGCGTGATTCTTTATTGCTTGGGGCATGGTGAGCATTATAGCCCCCGACCCCCCCTCCCCCCCCCGCCCTACAACGCAGCGCCCCTCCCCCCCCCGTGTGCGCTCCGGGCACTGCCGCCGTGCGCATCGGGCACACGGCGGGGGGGGGGAGGCGTTACATTATACCCCCCCCCCGGCCCACTTCCCCTCCTTCTATAATGCCCAGTCTCGCCGAAAAGAAAGGAACTCGCTCCTGCTGGCTGTGCGCCGCCTGGAGGAGCTTGTGCAGGTCGTTGATCTGAGATTGAATCTGCGGCGGGACCCTGCAACGGGCCCTTTCTTGAGCTAGCCCATGAACCTAGAGACTTGCAGGAAGGGCGATGCCGAGTCAGCTGAGGGCTGGCTGGCATGCTCCGCCGCCGCGCGAACTGCGACCGCCAGCTGGCCCTCCAGCTGCTTAAGCGCCGTGACAGCAGCGGCCTTGTCCGCCTGGAGGGATGTGACCTTGTCGGCGAGCGTGCTGCTCTCCTCGACGCTCGCCTCGATCTGCTCGGTGAACTTCTGGATCTTGCCTTGAGCTGTGGAAGCCCGATAGCGAGGCGACTGGCACTGCTGCTCCCATGGCCTCCCTTGGAGGGCGGAGGTTTTCGGCTGCTTGAGAGAGACCACGGCTCTGGCACACTTCTTTCCCCCCGGCGCCCTCACGAAGCTTCCAGAAAGCGACGAGATCCTGGCAGACAGAGACCGGACCATCTGATGCATCGGGCGGCTCCGAGAGGGCCGGGCTGCGCGGGTGCTCCTCCCGACCGCGCTCCTTGAGCCCGGGCTAGCGGCTCCCGCGACGGCGGCCTGGCCATCCTTTGGACCTCCCGTCACACTTGGGGGACTTGGGAGGTGCAAGTGCCTGGCCCTGGGAGCCTGACTTCGGGAAGGTCGTCCCACACTGTGAGCAGAACTTGTTGCCGCGATCGAGAAGTGGCCATCCGTTGCATCCGTGGCGGGGTGCAGCAGACGCACGGACGATGGCTCTTTGGAGGAGCCGTGGCCTGAGCGCAGCGCCGATGCTTCACGAGGGGGCGAGGCAGATGGCGGCGGCCGCCGCGCGCCGCCCGACTGTCTGAATAGTTTGCTTGCAAGAGCTGGCAGCGCTGCCTGCCAGGCTCGAGCGAGGTTGGGAAGTTCAGGAGAAAGGCCCCTTGAGCCAAAAGCTAGGGGGGAGGAGGAGGAGGAGGAGGAGGAGGAGGAGGAGGAGGAGGAGGAGGAGGAGGAGGAGGCGGAGGAGGAGGAGGAGGAGGCGGAGGAGGAGGAGGAGGAGGAGGAGAAGGAGGAGACCTCTCCCCGCCTCGCGTTAAGGTCCCGCCGAACGGCTCCCGGCCGCGGGGAGGGGGCGTTCGGCGGGTTGGGCATTGCTAGGCTGCCCGCCCGCGATGCTTAGAGCCCGCGCCGCGCGGCCCAGCCGGGCGGGCGGCCCAGACGGGCCTCCTGCAGGGCGGCAAAGTATGAGGAAAAACGGAGGAGTGAAGGAGGACGAACGCGAGGGGGAGAAAGAAGGATTGAGGAGGATAACGAGTAAACGGGATGCAGGGAGATTGGCGAAGGAGGAGGAGGAGGAGGAGGAGGAGGCGTGCGAGAGTAATTCCAGGATGTGCCAAAAATGTTGCAGTGCGGCTTCTCGTCCCAAGTCCCCTCCTCATAAGTCCCTACAAGTATTCTCCTCCACTGCGGGAAGCGCCCGCCTTGACTGATGAGCTCGCGGTGGGTTTTCCGCTCAGGCGAGGCCCCGCTGTATCAAGGATTTGCCATCCACCGCTCTAGCTAAAATATAGATAAGAGGTAGGATTGTGAGGGCCGAGGAAGCATCCAGCGATAGTTCCGTTTTGAAAACAGCCGCCATCCAGTCGTGCAGCTCTTGCACACGTGGGAACACCGGCTCATCGAATTCGCGGATTTTTTTCAAGCGAGGGCTGCATTTTGAACACGAGCGGGCCTCCATCCTTGGTAGCTGTCGGGGGCTTTTAATCAAGGGTGCGCGGCACCGGGGCGAGAACCGCATTTTGGAAGCCTCTGGCCCTCCATCCTTGTAGCTGTTGGAAGCGTTTTGAGGGCACGTGCGCGGCGCTCTGGCCCAGGCGAGATCCGCATTTTGGAAACCACGGGTCCACCATCTTTGTAGCTGCTGCGGTGCCAGAACGAGAACCACATCATCGAAGTCACCCGCCTTCCATTATGTGGCCGTTGAGAGTGTTGCAGTGTCGGGATCGTAATGTGTAAGATGTGCTCAAGCCAGACGCCTGGCCCGGTCTCCGACCACGCTGAGTGGTGCGGCACAAGGAAGTCATGTACAAGGCAGATGGAAGAGCAGGGAGGAGGAGGGTATCGGGACGAGGAGGGCAGGGACGAAAACGACGACGACAATGGGGGCGGCAGTGGCTGCGGCGGCTGCAACTACGACGACTACGGCGGCGGCGGCGACGATGACGACGACGATAACGACGACGACGACGACGACGACGACGGTGACGGCGGCGACTGCGGCGGCGGCGAGGATGACGGCGGCGACCGCGGCGGTCACGACGACGGCGGCGATGGGGCCGAGGGCGTCAGCTTCTTCGGCGTGCGGCGCCTGCACCTGGCGGACGTGCCCAAGACGCCCAGCGCCCTGATACAGTCGGTGGGGCGCACCATCCGCATGCACGGGCACCGCGGGTTGCCCGTGGAGGAGCCCCAAGAAACAGCAATACTCAAGGGCGCCCTCGAGGGCGCGAAGTTATTCGCGCTTCGCGCTTCGCGGTTCGGCTCCGATTCCTCCTCACCCTCCACTTCTCCCCTGGGAGGTGGCGCGAGAGCGCGAAGTTATTCGCACTTCGCGCTTCGCGCAGCGCGAAGCGCGAACTTAGGAGCCCTTGAATACTGCACAAACGCAAGCTGTCGACGGTCCGCGCGGACTTCTTGGCTGTGCGCTGGGGCCCTCCTGGCGGCGTCTCGAGGGCCGCCCCCTGGCGAGTCCAGCGCCGATCTGAGAAGTCCGCGCGGATCTCCGATACGGTGGGGGCCTTCGTTAAGGAACGTGCCCAGGAGGCTTCAGACCCTGGAGGGTTCCTTATCTGATGCGGGCGGCGGTGACATCCATGGCCAATCCACGATTGGCCGGCTTCTGCACCAGCTTCCCGACCCTGTATTCCTTATCCTAGGGTTCCTTATCCAATGCCCTCGCCTCGGTTTCTGCCTCATGTTTTTTTTCTTCTCTTCCTCCGGCGCCTCCCCCCCAGAAGGCAGCAGGACGAACCGTCGCGCAGGGGGCCAAATCGAGGAGCGACCCACCGAGGAGCGATCGACCGAGGGCTCTCCGGGGCTGCGGCCCTAGGAGGCCCCTTGCGGGCCCGGAGGCCGTCAACACACACACACACACACACATCTGCGTTGCAGGTCGGCGTTCTCGTATTCGTTGTTTTGCCCATCGGCGCGGGCCCTCGCACCCCCCCCCCCCTCCGACCTCCGCCCCCCCCTCCTGGAGCAGATCCTGGCTCTTCTTGGCGCTTGCTTCGAGCAGGTGGACTGTCTCCCCCATGGGGCGCACTGCTGCAAACAGACGCGCTGAGCAGAGGTCCAGAGCTGGACCCCCCCCCGTCCCCCCCCCCTCCCGCCCAATGTCGAAGCGCCGAATCGGAACACGCTGACAAGCAATACCCCCGGGCAGGCCCAGGGAGTGTGCGCGGATTTGCCTGTGATTTCGTCGGCTACGCACGAGAGTGACCCTTCGCCAGAGTGAGCTTACGTGCGGGCGCACTGGGTCTGGCGGACCCAGAAGGGGGTCCAGCGACAAGGGGGTGGTGCAGCAGATTTGGTACAACAGATTTGTGGGGTTGCAACCGGTTCGGGGCGTGCAAGACATTCCAGTGCGCAAGAGTATAGTTGGGCTTTCGCGTGCGATGCACTCTTTGCAATACAAACAAAACAATTGTCCAGCGCAATGCATTTGCCATACAAGTGACCCAAATCTATTGCACCACCCCCTTTCAGCTGGAACCCCCTTTTGGGTCAACCAAACTGGGATCCTCCGATCGCCTACGTGATGATGCAGTCGTAGCGTCTTGCGCGCTCGTGTTTGGTCCCCCCCGCGGCCCCCAAGACGCGGCGCACCAAAAGCTCACTCTTACCCAGGGCCACTCTTGCATGCGGCCGATACCCCCAGACGCCGACATCGCTAATTAAACCAGGAAGCAACAGTAAACAAACGTCGGGGTCGAACCAAAAGGTCATTGTTACACAGGGCCACTCGATGATGATGATGATGCTGATGATGATGCTGATGATGCTGATGATGCTGATGACGCTCATGATGATGAGGATGCTGAAGAACCTGATGATGGTGATGGTGATGGTGATTGACATGATGATGATCGATGATGATGATGATGATGACGAGGATGATGAGGATGATGCAAATGGTGATGATGATGATGACGATGATTCTGACAATGATGATGCTGATGATGATGGTGGTGGTCATGACGATGATGTGAATGGTGATGCTGATAATGCTGATGCTGCTGATGATGATGATGATGCCATTACTGATGATCATTATGATGATGATGATGGTGATGATGATGGTGATGATGATGATGCTTATGATGATGACGATGATGATGATGATCCTTCCGATGATGACGATGATGATGATGACGACCACGATGTTGCTGCTGATGATGATGGTGACGATAATGGTGATGCTGATGATGGTGATGATGCTGATGACGCTCATGATGATGACGATGATGGTGATGACGATGATGGTGATGACGATGATGATGATGATGATGATGATGATGATGATGATGATGATGATGATGATGATGATGATGATGATGATGATGATGATGATGATGATGCTTTCTCCAGCGCTGCAGGCAGGGGGCCCGGCCCTCGAGGGGGCCGAGGAGAGGTCGGCGCACATCTGCCTCTCGGCGGAGGGGCGCGGCGGAGGCCTGGCGGGGCAAGAGAGCCGGGCGCGGCTCTGCGGGCTGGCAGCCGTCGGGAGGCGGAGGCTCCTCCTCTTCCTCCTCCTCCTCCTCCTCCTCCTCCTCCTTCCCCTCCTCCTCCTCCTCCTCCTCCTCCTTCTCCTCCTCCTCCTCCTCGAAGGCGGAGGGCGGAGGGCGGAACCGGGCGCGGAAGGCGCGGAAGGCGGAAGGCGCGGAAGGCGGACGGCGGAAGTCGACTAGACGTAAGAGTGACGTAAAACCGCGCACCAAAGGTCACTATTACCCAGGGTCCCTCTTGCGTGTAGCCGAGGAAGGCGCGGAAGTCGCGGAACCAGGCGGAGCCAGCGGAAGGCGGAGGGGGGGCCTGCCCTTACAGAGCGGTCCTCCTGCTGGAGGGCGCGCAGGTCGGGGAACGAAGAATGACATAGACACAAAAACTCGGAGGTCCGCGCGGGTTTCTCGGATCGGCGTCGGACCTCCCTCCCTGGCGCGCGGAACGCGCCAGGGGCGGTGCGGGCGGCGCCGCCAGGGGACCCCAGCGCCGATCCGAGGAATCCACGCGGACCTCCGAGTTTTTATGTTTATGACATCGTTCGTTCCCCTATTACAGCGCCGTCCTCCTGCTGGAGGGCGCGTATGGTCGGAGCTGGGCACGAAGATACCCACCTGCCTTTTCTCGCCCTTCGTCGGGCTTCTGATTTAGAATAGTGCCTATACCAGCGCCGTCCACACGGTAGTTCAGAGCCCCACACGAGACCTCTTGCGCCAAAGGATCATTGGGGGTAGTGCTTTTGGTGGTGGAAGGGTAGCGGAAGGCGGAGGCCCCCCGATCAGAATTGAGCCGCGAGCGAGGGGGGGAAGTGAGAAGAGGAGGCTTTCTCAGAAGGCGGCGGGACTTCTCAGAAGCCCTCGCGCCCTCTGAGGAGGTTTCTGCGTCTTCGGGGAGGGCTTCAGTAACTTCCGCGAAGGCTGGGAGACTCCCGAGCCTTCTGAGAAGCCCCGCCCCTTCTCTCGCGTCCCCCCCGCGCGCGCGCCGACAAAGTAAGAGATGCCCCCCCATCACAAATCCCCCCAGATAGCTGTTGCACTCAGAGGTCGGGGTTTTGCGAAGGGCTTGGTGGAGCGCGGTTGCCGTGCGGGCGCCGGGTGCGTTGGGTGGGTCTGCCTGTATGTCGCCTGGTGGCCTGCCGTGGACGGTCCGTGCGCGGTGTGCACCACACAGCTTGCACCGCACAGCGTGGACCACACAGGTGCCATGTCCTGAACCGGATTAGACTCTACCCCCACCCCGAGGTCAGGGTCATCGCCCCCCTTCTGCGCACGGTGCGTGTCCTATCAGTCCTGGGCGCTTCCGCTGTGGTGGACTCGTCTTCTTCTTCTTCTTCTTCTTGTCTTCCTCATTGTCGTCCTCCTGTTCCTCTTCTTCCTCCCTAATGATTCTGCCCCTCCCCCAACTCCTCCTCCTTCTCCTTCTCCTCCTTTTTCCCTCATCATCTGCCCTTTCCTCCCCATCGCCCCTTGGTCTTCCATGAGACCCCCCAGAGACCCCTAGAACCATCCAGGAACCTTTCGACCTCATGAAGAGCCACCACGGAGTTTCGACCCCCGCTGAATTTCTAAAGCTCGTCTTACACGCTCTAGATCCCTCCTCGCCCCTCTCACCTCCTCGCTCATCCTCGCTCCGCCTCCTGACGAGGGCTAGTCAGAAGCAAGGGGTGGTGACGAGGAGGATCGAGGAGCGAGGGTGAGAGGAGGTGGATGGGAGGAAGGCGAAGGGTGGAGGGGGAAGGGGGGAGAGGAGGTGGGGGGAGGGCGAGCGAGTAGCAACTTCCTCGCTCGCCCTCCTCGCTTCCCCCCCTCCCTCCCTCCGACGGCGTCGTGCTCTCTCTCCTCGCCACGTCGGCCCTGCCGCCCTCGACGGCATCCACGGGCTCGCTTGCTTGGGGGTCGGCTCCTGTGTGTCTGCCGCGTGGGCCCCGACTCGCCTCCCCACCGACCCTCGACCACACGCAAGAGCGACCTTCCGCCAGAGTGACTTTTGGTGCGGGTCCACTGGGGGGGCCCCCGATCGCCGAGCGCGATGCGGTAGTAGCGTCGTCTTGCGCCCTTGTGTGTTTGGTCCCCCCGCGGGCCCCGAAGAGCCGCGCACCAAGAGGTTACTCTTACCCAGGGTCACTCTTGCGTGCGGCGGTTGCCCCCAGACGCCGACAGTGCAAATAAGGTCAGGAGCAACACTCAACGAACGTCGGAGTCGAATCACAACAACAACAATAACAACAACAACAACAACAGCAGCAGCAGCACCAACAACAACAACAACGGCAGCAACAACAACAACACCAACAGCAACAGCAACAACAGCAGCAGCAGCAACAACAACAACAACAACAACAGCTGCAACAACATCAAACGGCTTCGCGGGCCCTGGGGCCCCTTCGCGCCGCTGCCTCCCCGGGGCCGCCGCCGGCGGAGGAGCGCACGGTCACGACGGTGCTGCACGTGGCGGGGATGCCGCGCTGGATGCGGTCGCCGCTGGGCGCCTTCGCGCTCCAGGCGCGGAGGAGCAAGCTCAAGCCGTCGTCTTCGTCCTCGTCTCCGGCAGCGTCGTCGGCGGGCGTCGTCGTGGTCGTCGTCGTGGTCGTCGTCGTCGTCGTCGGCGTCGGCGTCGTCGTGGTCGTCGTCGTGGTCGTCTCCGTCGTGGTCGTCGTGGTCGTCGTGGTCGTCGTCGTCGTTCTTGTCGTCGTGGCTATGGTCGTCGTCTTGCCGCCGTGGTTGTGGTTGTCGCTGTCGTCGTCGTGGTGGTCGTCATTGCCGCTGGCGAGGAGGAGAAGGGAGAGGAGTCGGAGTCGGAGGAAGAGGAGGAGGAGGAGGAGGAGGAGGAGGAGGAGGAGGAGGAGGAGGAGGAGGAGGAGGAGGAGGAGGCGGGGGTGGACCAGGGGGCCTGGCGACGGCGACACGCGTGCGCGCTCCAGGCGCAGAAGAAGCACGACAATCCGCAAGCGACATTTGGCGGCGCCCGGCAGATGCTGCGCACGCTGATGAAGGCGGGAAGCTCGAGCCTGGAGCAGTTCAAGGCCCCTGGCGGACGCGGAGCGACTGATTCTACGGAGGGTCAGGCTGCTTTGGCGTGGCGGCGACGCCAGCGAGGGCGTTCAAGGGTGAACTTCGGCGGCCCGAGGCCGGCCCGTTTCAGAACGGTGCAAGGTGTTATCGGAAAGCGGCGATCGTCCGAGGTTCAAGGACCCAGGAAGCATCAGAAACCAACGCTCACGTCAACGCGATGAGAATTTGCCATGTTCTCGTCCGGAGGAGGGAGGAGGGACGAGGCGCGAGTCGTTTGTTGATGTGCCGGGCCCGATCCGGTCTCTTCAGGCTTCTGGCAGCTCTGGTCGGACGAAAGAGTGCTCGTTGTCATATCTAAAGGCTGCCGCCTCTGCCGCCGACCCCAAAGGAGGTTTAGGAGGATTATGGGTAGCAGGTGTACCGGCCGGTGCATCATCGGTCGGAGGGATGGCAGGGTGAGGATGACGATCATGAAGGGGAGCAGGAGCAGGAGGAGGAGCAGGAGGAGGAGGAGGACGACGACGACGACCATGTCGGGGCGTCGACAGAGCCTCGGGAAGAGGGGGCGATGCGCGCGACGGGGTGTGGCCCGGGAGGGGGGCTGTTAGAAATATTGCACAAACTTTACTAGACAGCACTTGGCATACTAGCACGCCTCAATGTTCCATGAATCGGAAGGCCTGGGGTATGGGGGTTGGCCTTTGTTCATTGCAACTTCGTGGCACGTTCCTCAAGCAAGCCACAGAATTTCTGGAGCGATGTCCCCCCCCTGGTGTTTCCGGCGGGGGGGTGGGGGGGAGTGGTGACAACATCTCACACGCTAATGATTCCAAGGGGTGGGCGGATTCCTACTAGAGTCGGGACCTCGTTCTGAAACCGCCGCGCCGTGCGCCTATCCGCTCCTTTCTTCCTCGTCGTCCCGGGATGCCTTTCCCCGGTGGCCCCCGGTGCCCCTCCGAAACCCGACTTGGTCCGAAACTTTCCAAGGGACAGGTTTTCAGTTCATCCCTGGTTCGCTGACGCGTAGGGATGACTACCCCACCCCTCCGTCCCTGGCTAATTGACTTTTCAGGCTGTTGGCTAAGCCAAAGCCAAGCCAAATTCTGATCCGGCCGGCTTGGCAGGCCCTGCCCGGCAGCCCCTCGGATCAAACATCCAGTCAGCCTTCGGGATCAAACAGCGAATTGGCTAGCCCGAGACATCCTCGCAATTTTATTCACGCGGGCTCCCACCGCCCGAGACATCCCCGCAACTCCAATTGGCTAGCCCGAGACATCCTCGCAATTTTCGTCAAGCGGGTTCCCGCCGCCCGAGACATCCCCGCAACTCTTCACATCGAGGCCGCCGCCGCCCGAGACATCTTCGCAACTAGCTCTACTCGTGCGGGCCCGACGGCGACGACGACGACGACGACGACGGTAACGACGATAAGGACGATAGACGTCTCTTCTATCCGCCCCCAGACCTCCGATCGTCATGACCTTTCTCGCGGCGGGGGCCTGCCCTCGGGGCTCTTGACTCCTCTTTCCTTGGGACCGGCCTCTCGCCCCGGGTTAGCTTTTCAGGGCCCCCTGGCCCGAAAGCGGCCCCCGCGGGACGACGTGGCAATTAGCCCACTGAGGGCAAAACAATTTCATTCATTGCGCCTTCGGTTTGCATTCAGTGAGCTCCTTGCTTTCAGGGCAAAGAGAAAGAAAACAACGCCCATCGTGAGTTTTGTTGCGGCGCCTGGAGGTGTGGGTCTCCGCCCCCTTGGGGGCTTGCCGTTCGGCCTGCCGCAGAGAAGCGAGGTCCGTGGCCCCGTGCTGACCGATGCCCGCCCCGCTCCGCCCCGCTCCTCCTCCCCCTCACTCGTGCTCCCGCTCTCGCCTCCTCCTCTCCTCCTCCCCTCCTCCCCTCGTCCCTCCTCCTTCCTAGGCCCCTTTCCTCCTCCTCCTGCTCCCCTCCCTCCGCATCCCTCCCTCCCTGTCATCCTCTTCCCTCCTGAGCTAGCGCAAGGGACTGTACACTGTCGCGGTGCTTCTCTTTCTCTTTCCTCCCGCTCGTCCCTCTCCTCCATTCTTCCTTCCTGTCCATAGCCATTTCGGCTCAAGCGAGCCGCGTTTCGGGAGGCCCTCGCACTCCTGCCCCTCCTCATTCCTCCTCCCCTCTGCCCCGCCGACTGCGGAGGACTTAGGGCTTTCAGATAGAGTTTCGAACTTCGGGCCTCGAGGATTTGGGTTCGAAGCTTTTTAGGCTCTCGGGGGCCCTCCTCGTCGCCGCGGCTGGACGCAGCTCGGAAAACTGGTACGTTCGGACCCCGGGAGGGGTCCAGGGGCCTGTTTTGAACGGATTTTGGCCGAGGGGGGGTGTGGATATCGTGGCCGAGGCCATGAAATCTCCCGGACATCGTGGCCTCCTCTTGTCTCAAGGCGTCCCCTGGCCCCTCCTCCATCGGCCAAGCACGTGCCTCCGGCCATTATTTGCTAACCCCGCGTTTGGACGCCTACGAGTGGAAAAGAAGGGAAACCCCCAGATCCTCACGACCCGGAGGTTTTCGTTCGTCTTTCAGCCCCCGGGGGCCTTCGACGGGCCCCGCGACCGTCAATGATGAGGGTGATGATGATGATGATGACGGTGATGATAAAGGCCTCATCTTGAAGGCCTCTTGAGCGGTGGATTGTACGCCAGGCCACCTGCATACGGCGGCCGCTCAATAGTGAAGCGGCGTGTTGCGTGTAAGAGTATGCAGGAAGAGGTAGGGGCGGGGGTAGGAGGAAGTAGGAGGAGGTAGGAGGAAATTGGGAGAGGTAAGTGGAGGTAGGATCAGGTAGGAGGTAGGAGGCGGTAAGAAGAGGTTGGATGAGGTTCGAAGACACAATGGCGTGGAGGTGGAGGTAGGAGGAGGTAGGGGGAAGGTCGATAGAGTAGGAAAGGGTTCGAGGAAGTAGGAGGTGGTGGGATGAGGCAGGAGAGGGATGGAGGTGGTGCAGGAGGTGGGATTTGTAAGGAACCATAGGTGGAAGTAAGAGGAAGGAGGATCAGGAGAACGCAAAAAAGTGGAGGGACAACGATGGGAGAAATGGGAGGGCGAAGACGGATGACGACAATGGGGCCAGCCAAGGCAACGAGAGTTCAAGCGGCATGCACCCTTGTTCATTCTGTCACGCCGCGTGCTTCAGGCTCAAGCCTTGAGCGGCTGCAGCTGGCTCCCCTCCTGTGGGCCTTCCCCGAGGGGCCGCGGGAGCGCGGGGCGCGGCGATGAAGGTTTTACCGGTTGCGCCTAAAAGCAACCGCGGGCTTTACCGGTTGGGCCATAACCAACCGAGGGTTTTACCGGTTGTACCACAATCAACCGAGGGAGCGCCGGTGTCCATAAGCCGGTCCCCCGGAAACGGGGTGGTTCGTGGCGTGTGTCAGCAATGGCACACCCGCGTTCCTGCATGGGCCTTCGGGTCAGCCGGTGTCAGGCCGGTCCCCCGAGAGGGGTGTGTCGTGGCGGGGTCCTCCGGGGCTTTGCCGCGTCGCTGCATAAATCCACGACCGAAATGTTCTGCTTTGTGGTGGGCCCGAGTGACCAGCTCTCGGAATGGGCGGGCTGAAAGGGGGAAGCTATCGCGATTTTGCGGAGACAGGCCCTGGTGGATTGGTCCCATGACGTTTCGTGCACACAGTAGACGGGGGAAACTATCGCGAATTTTGTGCGGTGTGGGAGAGACAGGTGACGGAAGGCCGTTACCAGGAAGACCCCGCTGTCTGTCTCCGAAGAGTAGAAGGGGGAAACTATCGCGTTTTTTTTCGCAGGCGCGTCTTCGGGAGGGTACAAGTAGGAAACTATCGAGATTCGCGTCCCAGGTTCGTCCTCTCGACGATAGACGGAGGAAACTATCGCGAATTTGTCCACAGGCGCGTCTTCTAGACAATGGAAGGGGCAGACGATTGCGATTTTGTTCCCAGGTTCGTCCTCTGAATGAGAGAAGGTGGAAACTATCGCGGCTCTATGCAGAAACGCGTCCACTGGACGACAACATGAAGAAACTCCCGAGGAGGAGTTGGCCACAGGCGCTTTCTCCACACGATACAAGGGGGAACATATCGCGAACCGTCTTTTTGGAGCGTGCGCTAGAAGACAGGAGGGGAGAGCAACGGCGAATTTCTGCCCAGACGCGCCCATCGAGCGACAGACAGGACAGACTAGCACGCTTTGCTTCGCAGACGCGTCGTATGACCGATGGAAGGGGGAAATGCTCGCGGATTCTCTGTAGGTTTGGTCCAGCCAACGCGTGGCGCGAGGGACGGAAATCGATTCGAAGAATGGTCCGATCGTCAGTGCCAGAGACGGGGGTTCTGCGAAGCTCCGAGGAGGGTCGCGCGTGGCGTCTGGGAGACGCGGGCAAGGCAGCCGTGAAACGCTGGTGCCCTGCAGGTGACGGGTCGCGACTACAGCGATGGATATCTCGAAGGCGATCGTGGCGGGATCGGAGAACACGCATAGTCGGCCATGTAGCGGACGTTAGTAGGGAAGACGGAAAAGGAGGAGGAGGAGGAGGAGGAAAAGAAGGAAAAGGAAGGGCCTGCGGCCGCCAGAGCGCAGCTGCGAGGACGTGCGTTGCTCGGACGCGCGACAGGTGCACGGCTGTGATGAGAGCCCCGAGCGGGAGGAATGGCTCCGAAAGGCAGTCGGACGACGTCGTGGACGCTTCGTTCTTCGACGTGCTGCGCACAGTCCTTTTCGTTGCACTCGGGCATGCTTCGAATGCGTGTGGGTTGTGGCGTATCGCGGCGTGGATGTCGGGCCGCGAAGCGCGCCGTGTCGGGGGCGCCCGCAGAGCTCGCGTGCGTCGTGCGCCGGGAATTGGCGTGAACCGGAAGGTGCACCACCAGGGTCGGGGCAATAGCGAGTGGATTGAGTGCGTTGCGATGTGCGCAAGCAGCGGTGGCGCGCCCGTGGAGACACTAGGTGACGGAATGCTACGGGTTGCTGTCGCGTGGATGGCGTACGTGACATGCGCACCGACGACGTCTGTGGCGACACTCGCGGCAGACGAAGCAACCGTGGGGTCCTGGGAAAATAAGTGCTTGCAAGATGCCGTAGCGCGTATGCAGCGCGGTCGTTGGCGCCGAGAAGCATTGCGATTCTTTTCGAGAGAGTGCCCCAACAATGCATTGTCGGGTGCGGGCGGAGTGGGCCCCGTACCAAAACAGAACGTGGACGCGGTCCAGCGGTGGCTGTGCCAGCAGAAGGCTTTCGCGTGGGTCTACGAGGCAGAAAAAGTCGCGGATCTTCTGGAGGAGGGAGCCCGTTTGAGGTGGCGACTTGGTGATGCGAATGGCCGCTGCGTCGGGTCTGCCGTTTGGCTGTCCGAAGGACATGTAGTTCGCGTCGCTCATGGGCACGGCGTACTGAGCGGGATGGAAGGTGACCCTGTGCGGGCCCCGTGGCGACGTTCCGCGGCTGGCGCCAGTCGTGGCGGCAAGAATGGGGCGCTGGCGGCAGGCAATAGCGCGAGCGCGAGTACTGGGCTGCAGCATGACGGTTGCCCTGTCGTCATGGGTGACGGATGCTTTTCCGAGAGAGTTCGGGCACTCGTTAACCGTCGGCATCGAAAGATGCTCACCAGCGGCCAGGGCGGCGCTTGTGGAATTAATGCGTTGTTCGGCACGGCCAGCCCAGATGGCCTGCGGCACGCCGATGCGAGAGGTTTCTTGCGACGGACGCTCGGCGAGACTGCAGAAGAAGTGCGCCGAAATTGCCGCAATGCTCGAGCGCTTGATGAGCTGATGAACTCGGCGTGGAAGCATGTGATCAAGCCGCAGGCGGAACAGCATGCTGGTCTGAACGATCGGAATCTGGGCATGCTGGCGGAAGAAAAGAGATTGTGGGAGAAAATAAAGGGGAACCGCCATGTCATGAATGCCTGTGTGTGCGCCGTGAAGCAAGAGAGTGAAGCGTTGTCGGTCTTCGAGCAGAAGCGACACGAAGTTGCAAGTGCGCTGAGAAACTTATGCGGGAACGACATGAAAGATGTTTTTCTGCGCCCGCTGCTGACTCACATGGGCATTCTTGACGACTACGAATGCATAGGCAATGACGGGCAATGGAAGATCGACGTCGCTGGCACAGACACAGAGCTCGGGCAGCATTACCGCCGCGGCATCGTGGAGTACTGCGGAATGAACAACGTGGACGCTTTTCTGTCGCACGTAAATAACACGGTGGCCGATCTGCAGGACGCGAACGTAGACAGAGCATTCGGCGCTGGAGTTGGTGACTTCGTAGAGTTAGTGAAGGAGGCCCGCGTGCACGCGCCCGTCGTCGACGCCGGGGAGTCTGTCTTGGTGCAAGAGCCATTCGAGGACTTCTTCACTCTTGTGTACCCTTGTTATTTGGAGGCCGTATGCTCGGATGGGTATTATTTGAGTGATTTAGAGCTGATGTTGGTGTGCGAGTGTGCAGGTATGAACGCGGTAATAGCGCGGGAGGTTTGGGAGGAGCGTGGGCTTCGTCGCCCAGCCTTTCAGCTGCACAAGTATGTCTTGCCTGACGCCGACTCGGCGCACATCACTCTTATTGGTATAAACGCTGATCTGGGGAGGAGCGCTGTGCGAGGACATTACGAGCGTTTGGAATGCTTGTCGAGAGCTGTGCCCCCGTCGCCAGGTCCGCCGACTCCGCGTGCGAGGGCGAAGGAGTTGGAAACCAAGAGCGGACTGCCTGATGAATCTGACATCGTGGAGGGCAACGCTGATATGAACCACGGAGGATTGGGCGCGCACAAAGAAACGTCGGCGAAGCCTCGTCGCGGCATCGGTCCGATTGCGACGGTCGGTGGCGGTGTCCAGGGAGGAACAAGGGAGGGGCATCGAACGAATTTGGGCCAGGCTGGCGGCGGTCAGAGAGCGGGCAAGGAAGGCGGTGACAGCGCGACAGGGACTTTTTGCTCGGCGACGACCGACGCGAGTCGTCCGCAAGCTTTGCGTGCCCAGTACGTTGCGTGCTCGGGCTCGTCAAGCGTTGGTGAAGCAGCGGCATTGGAGCGCGGCGTGGTCGGCCTGGAGGGACCTTCGTCGGTGGCGTCGCAGGAGAAGCGTCCTGGGGGGCTGGTCATGCATGGCGTCGCCGCCCGAAAAGGTCGTGCTCCGGCGCTGCACATCCTACCCTGTGATCTCGTGGCACCAGTGCGGGTCGTCAGGGAGTCGGATATCCGCGCACTGCGTTTGTTGCTGAGTCCGTGCGAAAAGCCGGATGCGTGGGACGTTCCCGGACTGGAGTTCGTGCCGGGAGAGCTGCGCGCTCATCTCTGGAAAGCGTGGGGCGACACGGAATCGCTCCTGCGAGTCATGCAAGAAACGTGGGTGCGTGCCTGGCAGGGATGGGAGGAGTCATGGGACGCTCTGGCAGACGCCCCCGACGCAGAGGATAGGTGCCGCGTCGTGGAAGAACGAACGTGCAAGTTTATGGAATTCTTGATGGGGGAAATGGTGTTCGAGGCGAAGACGGACGAGGAACGCGGAGCAGAAATGACACGAGATGGCCGCTGTGTGGGTGCATCGCTTGCACACGGGGTCAACGCTAGCCTAGCGGACAGTATATTCCAGCTTGTGTCGAACGCCGGGTGGTGTGGCCATGCCCTGGCGTCCGCTGAGGAGCGCCGCGTCGCATGTGAAGCGTGCGTGCGGTATTTGCGGAACGTCGAGGATGCGTGGTTGAATCTGGCATCGCACGGTGGAGAGCTGAGCGTTGCCGCTCATGCAGGCGAGATCGTGAGGTTTGCGTTGGCCCGCCACGGCATGCAAGGAGTAGCGCTGCCAGACCGCGTTATCCTGCGCACGTACTCCCGCTTTGACGGGCACGTTGGGCCACGCGGGGGGTATGACATGACGTTGTCCCGAGAGGAGATCCAGGGGGGCGGCCCGGTGCTGGGCCAATGGTCACGTGAGGGCGATGTCACCGAGGAGGAAGGGGCAGTAATCCTTGAAATATACAACGAGACAGGCGCGGACATCAGCAGTACCTGGTACAGGCCAGTGTGGGCGCGCGCCGAGAACGATTCCCGCGGGAAGTCGCCTTCCCAGGGGGCAGAAGAACCTTCGGAGGTGGCTGGGCCAGAGACAGGGCAGCACGAGAGCGCAGGATTGCTAACGACGGCGCGGCCGAGTAGTGCAGGGGCGGACGCCAGTGCGGGCGGTGCGGGCAGGAGCGGAACGGAGCAGAGCACGGGCCAGGTGGTGGAGAAGGACTACACGGAGGCAGCGGGAGCAGCGCACGTGTACCGCGTCCGCGCCGTCGAGAACGGCCGCGTGTCCGCGGACGGTTGTCGCAGGGCTAGAGAAGAAGGTCTACAGGCGGCCGCGGAGCTTATGAAAGAGCACCCCACCGTGCCAGCGGTCTCCGTGCACGGAGCACCGTTGGAAGACGACGCCATCTTCTCACGAGGTGCCGTAGTGCTGCCGCAAGCACACTGCGCTTTCAGCAGATGCGGGTGGAGAGGGTCCAGCAACGATGAGCTCCAGGAGCATGTGGTAAGCAATCACGCGGGGGATCTACGGGACGTCGCGGAGGCGCTCGCATGCAACGAAGAAGACGAGACGAGGCGAAGAGAGGCACAGTACTGGTCCGCGTACAACGAGGCCATTGCATGGAAAGTTCGGACGGGCGCGCCGCTTGCAGCACTGGCGATCGATCGTCGATGTCTGTTCGAGTATGCGCGGAGTCTGCGCGAGGGTGCCGTCGACTCTCTCGTGTGCATGGTGTGCGCACGGAAGTTTCCGCACGTGGAAGGGCGCAGAGGGAACCCGATCGAATGGCGCGCGGTGAGTCCCAACGCGGACGGACTGTTCGGGCTGTCAGGCGCGTTCGTGAGGGAGCATATGTCGGTGGACGCGTACGTGGAGCGGTTCGGCAATGTGAGTGCCGTCGGGGAGGGGAGCAGCGGTGTTCATCTCCGAGATCGAATGGAGGAGTTTAATGATTGGCAAGTGACGGTTCCATCAGAAGAGGGGCCCGTCCGCGTGCTCTGTTGCCCCGAGGACATGCGGTGCGTCAGTGGCACGTGGCACTCGGAGAACACGGCGTGCAGATGTTGTGAAGCCCCGCTGTGCGGGGAGTGTAAGAACGCGATGGTGGGCGTTCGCGGCGAGGCGACGCTGCCCCCCGCGGCGCTGGCCAATGATATGATGGCTTTCTACTCTCCGGAAGAACTGTTCGGTAGCAAGGTGACGATTTTGGAGATGATCTGCGCCTCAGTCTGCATCACATCAATGGTGTGCTTCACACTGGAGAAACGATACCGGAAGGAGCGGTCTTTTGACATGGAAGTGGGTGCGAACGACGTCCGCATGGCGGCGCGCGGAAACGCGACGTCGTTCCCGATGCCGTGGACGGACGTTCTAGCGCAGTTGGCTGCTGCTGAAGAAGCTGCCGCGGACGGGCATGCGCCGGCGCTTCCACGCACGGGCGCGGAGCTTGCAGGCATCGTGTCTGTGATCTTGAAGTCGGGCGGCGACGACGATACTGCTGAAAGCATGTCCACGTTCGTGCACCAGGCTCTGGTGCGCAGGAAGGTGGTCGTGGATCTCATCGAGGGGGCGAAGGCTCGCGGGCATCGCGCGTACCGGAACGTGGACATGGATGAGGTCCGGAAAAGAGCCATGGAGCTTCCGGAGGAAGGCGTGCCACCGGCGATCATGCGCCTGGTACCCCTGGACGACGCGCTTGAGAAGATACAAATGCAGAAGGCGGCGACGCCCGTGCCGAGGCCCGACGGGCTACGTGAGGCGGGAGAAATTTTGGAGACCACGAAGGCGAACGCTGTGGTGTGTGAGAAGAGCAGTTTCGACGAGGGAGACATCAATGCGCAGCGGATTGAGGCCGTGCGGACCTTCGTGCAACGGCTAGATGAGGAGTGCGCGCATGGCGGGGCCGACGGCACGTCGAACTCCAGCGAAGACGAGGAAGGCGGCGGAAAGGCAGAACGGACAGGGAAACGCGGCCGCGTCCGCGAGGGCACGGCCTCGAGCGCGGACGAAGCGGCGCGAGAAGCAGTGGAGCGCGACATGCTGATGCAGGCCGGGCGCGAAAGGAAGCGTGTGGATCGGCTCCGCGTGCGCACTGGAAACGTTATGATGGATCAGTTCGAGCCCTGGTATTTCGGCGTCGCGTTCGCGTTTGTGTTTAAGTATTGCACGGGAATGCCTGACTGCCCAGAGTTCATGAAGCGCCCGCGCCACCGACGGGGGAACGGGGCGCCGCGGGTGGAGCTGCCGCTGTGGGTGAGGATAATGAGTCGTCGCGTGGAGAGCCAGATGTCCCGCGACTGGCACTTCGGATTCGTGTCGTGGAACCTTGTGTTTCGATCGGCTGTGAACCTGAGCAGGACGTGGTTCACGTATGTGTCAGCGAACGCATCAGGCGAGGTCGAACAGCTCACTCCCGCGGAAATCGCGGAAGGAGCGAAGCAGATTTATCGCGCGCTCGACGGGAAGTACGTAGACATCAACAATAGGAAACAGAAAGTAAACGGCGACATGACCAAAGTGCGGCACGTGCCAGGGTTGGGGAAAGCCGCCCATAAGCTGCTGACGCACATAGAGCACACTTCGCGGCGACTGTCTGGGACGCAGGAAGCGCGTCGAGTCATGCGATTTGAGACGAACGCGCTGCGAGTGCGGTACGGCGTCCCCATATTCGTAACCTTCTCGCCCGACGAAGGTCACAATCTGCTCGTGGTGAGACTCTCGCGCACTCGCCGGCAGGACCCCGTGCACAAGGCAGCTGATGATGAAGCGCACTCGCGGCTGGCGGGGAGTCGGGGCTGGCCGCGCGTAGCCCCCGACATGGATGGGCTGCACATGGACCTGCCGATGACCACGGGGGAGGCAGGAGTGCCGCCATGGAACGAGCGCAGACGAATTCTTGCGAGAGATCCCATGGCCAGCGTGGACGGCTTCCGTATCCTGGTGGACGCCACGCTCCGTCACTTGTTCGGCGTGCGGACCTGTCCGAACTGCCCGCGGTGCAACGAGGCGGAGAATGGGGCACCTTGCCAGGACCTGTTCGGGAGTAATGCTCAGCCCGGGGGGGGCGCGTTCGGGCGCGTTGATGCCTACTACGTGTCGATCGAAGCGCAGAAGTCCACGGGGTCTCTCCACGCGCACTGCCAGGTATTCATCCAGTGCCTGCACCAGCACACACCGCTGGACGAGGTATTCGAAATCGTCCGCGACGAGGTGGAAGGCCGTGGAAGGAAGATCGTTGAGGATTATTTGAAGTATAAGAGTCGCGTGTGCCGCCAGGTTTATTCGGAGCAGATGACACCGGAGGAGATTAATGGCAAGTTGGACGAGGCAGAGAAGTCGTGGCCAGAGTTCAAGAACGAGGGCGGTCTCATTTGCAGGCCCGCGTTTCAGTGTCGCACACTGGACCCAGAAGCAACGGAGAAGGAGGCAGCATACGACGCTGTGGCATGGGAGAAAGCGTACCTGGACGAAGACGTGCAGTACCTGCAGGAGAGGAAGCAGAACCACGTGCATTTGAAGAGCGAAGAGACTGGTGAGCGAGTACCCCTGCCGGCGTGCCGCCGGAAGGACAACCCGAAGCTGTGTAAGGCGGACTTTCCGCGGACGTCGCAGCTCATTGACCGCGCCATCGTCGTGTGTCCAGGGCAGGCGGCAGCGTTGGACATGCCAAAGGCAGGGCGACGGAATCGGACGGGAAGCCTGCACGGGCCGATGAATCACGCGAGTCTGAACGGCACGCATCCATGCATGTTGTCCGCGCAACGGTTCAATTCGGACGTGCAATTGCCGTATCGATTCCCCATCACAGAGGTTTGTTGTACGTGCGGGAAAGCGTGCGATAAGAAGCTCAACGACGCAGCGATCATCAAGGTCGCGCAGATGGCACAGGACGCACAGGCAGGGTACGCCTGCGACTACTGCACGAAACGGCAACCCATGGCTTTTCACGAAGTGAAGGAGTGCTGCAAGGGGGTAGAGAAGCTTGGCAGGCAGCTGCAGGGCGAGAATTTGAATCGGATCGGGAAGAGAGTAGCGAATCGCATCATGAGCGACGCGTACGGCAAAGGCATCGTGCGGGGGCAAGTGGAGTGTGCGAACCTGAGAGCGTTCGCGAGGGAGGACGACGTCACTGCGGCGGAAGCACTGAAGTCGTGCCAGACCACAGCCTTTTATGGACGCGAGTACGTGGACTTGGTCGAGCGCCTGGCAGACCGCGCGGCAGGCGGGCGGAAAGCGCAGTTTGCTGAAGTGGACATGCGGCAGAGGAGACGCAGAAAGGTGACCTTCCGAGACGTGGCCATGTTGTATGGACTGCGACCGAACGAGCCCGACCTGTGGCACTTGTCGCCGTACGAGTTCGCGACGTTCTGGACGCCGGTGTTGGTGTCGTTCCCCACGAGACTCGGGGATGCGGACCATCCTCGGCATCACGCTGTCTTGACGCAGAAGGGCAAGGAAAAGGTGCGCGAGAATTGTAAGAACCCGAGATTGGAGCAGGACCTGGAACCTGGGGAGGACTACATGGTGAAGGAAGGAGGAGGCGTGGATTGGGTGCCGTACCCAGAGACAGACGGGTGCGCCCACCTTCGTCACACGTGGGTGCTCAAGCGGAACAAGAGACCCAAGGCACCAACCTTTTTCGGAGCGCCCGTGCCACGCGGACGTCCTGGAGAAGCGGAGCGATCTGCGCGCATTGTGATGACGTACTTCCACCCGTGGACGTTGAGGCCTGACGCGGCCGACGCGCACGTCGTGTTCGCAGGGAGCCTGCGCGGCGACGCGCCGACGTGGGACGCGGCCATGGTGGCGTGGCTGGACGGCGGGGTGCAGACGAAGGAAGCCGCGCGGTACGTGGGCAACTTCCTGAGTGTGTACCGCGTCCGGCCACGAGACACTGAAGAAGCGGGGGACGGGACCGACGAAGACGTGAGCGACGAGGAGTTGGACGTGGGCTTCGATCAGCTCGACGATGCGCTGAAGTCCCGCGTGGGCGGGAAGAGGCGCAAGGACGGCGACGGAGACAGCAGCAGCGAGGAGGACGACGCAGACCCTGGGCAGGGAGCCGGAGGCGTCTCCCACTACGAAAATTCGAAAGGGGGCATGAGTGTCGCGCAACAGGTGTGGGGGCTCCGCGATGGCGAAACGCCGTTGAGCGAGATTCCGGGTGCATGGCCCGCAGAGGAGCCCTGCGACGTTGAGCAGGTACTCAGGGAGGCGCGCAAATCTCGGAACAAGGAGCAATCCATGGCGGACCGACTGGCGGAGGCTGACGGCGCAGTTATCGTCGCTGGCCAGGCCGCAACATCGGAGGACGTTGCCGCGTGGCTCAGGGACCTAGAGTTCCGGGTGGACAAGCAGACGGGACGGCGTGTTGTGAACGCGAAGCAGTTCGAGATGGTGAAGAAGGTGGCGAATCGAGTAATGCGCGAGATAGACGGCGAGGGAAGTGAGGACGGCAGCATGGGTGATCCGCTGCAGTGGTGCATGCACGGGGGCCCTGGGACCGGCAAGTCGCACGTGCTTCGCATTATTCGTCGTGAGTTGTTCGAGAAGGTGATGAAATGGACTATCGGAGTGCACTTCCAGATAACCGCCTTGCAGGCCGTCATGGCTCAGCTGCTGGGAGGCGACACCATTCACCATGCGTGTGGCATTCCGGCTATCAAGCGGGGGGAAGAGAAGGGGGGGGAGGACGTGAAGTTGCAGTACGAGACTGCGAAGCGGCTGCTCCAGTGGAGGTGGCTCTTTATCGATGAGATAAGCATGGTGAGCGCTAGACTGCTAGCAGAAGTGGACGCGAAACTTCGCGGGGTCATTCGGGACGTGGGCACGACGAAACTCGGCGACGATGGCGTTCCACGCCCGTTCGGCGGCCTCAACGTCGTGCTGAGTGGTGACTTCTGGCAGCTGGCCCCCCCTGACGGAGGCTTTCTCGCCGACGTCCCCACGGAGCGGATTTCGGCTGCGCGCAAGTACACATCGCTGCCACCCGTGTTGCACGGTCAATCGCTACTGTGGGGCGGGGCCGAGTGTGGGATTCAGGGCGTGACAGAGCTGGAAGAGTGCGAGCGATGCGACGACGCCTGGTTGAAGGAGGTGCAGGAGGAATTCCGAAGAGGCTCGCTGTCGGCGGATGCGCACGCATTCTTGCACGGCCGGCATACGTCCGTTCCTGGGAGCTGGCTGGGGGGGGACGTCTGCTGCGGGAATCGGGCGTGTCGGGAACTGTGCAGTGGCGGAAGGGACGCAGCGTCGTCAAGCGCGGGGCAACGACGGAAACGCCCCGTGACGCCGAAAGATATCCGCGAGCAGGAGTGCAAGGTGTGCAGAACGGAACGCGCACGCCGCAAGCTCGTGGTGGATGGACCCGACGACCCGCGTCTGCAGTCAGACAAGTTCCTCGTGGCGCCGGGTGTGTTCCCAAACAACGACGTGAAGTACGAGGCGAACAAGCTCCGTGCGGCCCAGTACGCACGGAAGCACAGGATGCCGATGGTGTACGTCCCTGCGCGAGATACGCCCACGCCAGAGGCGCTGCGGGAGCGGCCGGATCTGCCGCAGCAGAAGATGGCATGGCTCCAACGCCACGACAAGGAGAGCGGGGACTTGTACGGTTTCTTGCCCATCGCTGAAGGCATGCCCGTCGCTCTGACCGATCATATCGATCGAAGCGAGGACAAAAACCTGCTGCGCGGTCGCGTGGGCCGGGTGCAATCCTGGGTATGCGACGGGGACGCCGTCAATGATCGAGTCACGCGCGGCGGGGAGACCATATTGAAGAAGACTCCGAAAGTGATCTTCGTGTTGTTCGACGAAGGCGAAGACGGGAACGGCGGCAGGAAGCCATGCCAGTGGACGATCGAGGGATTGAAGACGCCCGGGTTGTACCCCGTGATTCCGCAGAAGAAGGATTGGTTCGTGGACAAGGGCCGTCCGCATCCGCGACTGAAGGTCAAAAGACGGCAGTTCCCGCTGGCTCCGGCCTTCGGAGTGACGGCCCATGCGGCGCAGGGGCAGACGTTCAAGCAAGGTGTCATAGTGGACCTGAGCATCGGTGGGGGCACGTCACCTCTGTCGAGCTACGTGGCACTGACGCGGGTGCAACGCCGCGAGGACATGCTGACCTTTCGCCCTTTCGATATTGCGCCGTATCAGAAGAAGGACGAACGGAAGGGCCCGGACTTACTACTGCGCACGTTGCGCGGAGAAGAGTTGGACTGGGAGGCGATAGAGCGGGAGTTCATGCCGTCTGGCAGGTGCGCGGTCTGCGGGTGCACGAAGTACAAGAACATGTACCCAACGGTCGGGCAGTGGAGCCGCGCAGATGGGCTCCGCGTGTGCAGCGTGTGCCTGGAAGATAAGAAGAGGTCCGGCACGCCGTGGCAATGCATGGAGTGTGGTCTATGGAAGTGCCAGGAGGCTTTCCACGCGTCACAGCACCACCCATCGAAGTTGACCACGCGACGTTGCGTAGACTGCCCCGAGAGGCGAAAGTGTTATGTGTGCGAGAAGAGCAAGTACGAGGAAGGATTCGGGGCGACTCAGTGGGACAAGGCAGGGAATGCCCGATGCAAAGGAGGAATGTGCCTGGACTGCGAAGAGGCGAAGAAGCATCTGAAGTGTTCGCGCTGCGGCGAGCAGAAGTTACTAGATCAATTTGCCAAAGCGGAAACTGTTATCAACGAGGAACCCACATGCAAGGCGTGTAAGAGGTTGCAGAGAGAGGAGGAGAAGGCCCGTGCCGAAGAGGCAAAAGAGCGCGTGTGTTCCAAGTGCGGAATCCCAAAAAGGAGAGCCGAGTTTTCAGAGCACATGTTGGTTAACGCGCCGGTAGCATCGATGCAATGTAGGGAATGCGTAAACGCTGCAGCAGCAGGGCGGGACAAGGCGGCGAGGAAGGACATTAAAACTTGCGTGGTGTGCAGGGTGGGGCAGCGGCAAGAGTTTTTTTCAGAATGGATGTGGGGCGGCGTGGCTGATCTGCATCGTAAGTGCAAGCAGTGCGTCGCTGCAGGGAGGAAGGAAGAGAGAACTTGTGTAGTGTGCGAGAAGGCGCAACAGAAAACATGTTATTCCGATTGGATGTGGGACGGCGTGGCAAATCTTCACCGCAAGTGCAAGCGCTGCATCGGCGGTGCGAAGATGCAGCGCGGAAAGTGGACATGCGTAGAATGCAAAGGCGCTTTCGGGAAAGAGGAGTACAGCAGCTGGTTGGCCGAGCGGACTTCGCAGAAGGCGAATGGAAAGCAAAGGTGCAACGTGTGCTGTGCTGGCCAAGAGCGCAAAAGGAAAGAAGTCGCTGAGCGGAGCCACGCGTCGGTGACAAAAGTGCGTAAGACTGAATAGCTGTTGCCACGTGGGCCAGGTGCGGGCCAGGTGGGGTGGGTGGGGGGGGGGGGGGAAGGGGGATATCGGTCGATTTTGGGCGAGAAATCGCGGGGTGGGGAGTCCCAAGAACAGAGCCCAGAGGGCTGGCGGTGTCGGGGCCAGGTGGGGGCCAGGTGGTGTGTATCGGTCGATTTTGGGCGAGAAATCGTGGGGTGGGGGGTCCCAAGAACAGAGCCCAGAGGCCTGGGGGTGTCGGGGCCAGGTGAGGGCTAGGTACGGGGTATCGGTCGGTTTTGGGAGAGAAATTGCGGAGTGGGGGGACCGAAGAACAGAGCCCAGAGGCATGGGGGTGTCGGGGCTAGGTGGGGGCTAGGTGGGGGGGGGGGGTATCGGTCGATTTTAGGCGAGAAATCGTGGGGTGGGGGGTCCCAAGAACAGAGCCCAGAGGCATTGGGGTGTCGGGGCCAGGTGGGGGTCAGGTGGAAGGTATCGGTCGATTTTGGGCGAGAAATCGTACGGTGGGGGGTCCCAAGAACAGAGCCCAGTGGCCTGGGGGTGTCGGGGCCAGGTGGAAGCCAGGTGGGGAGAGGGGGAGGGGGGGGGGGCAGGTAGGGGGGATCGGTCGATTTTGGGCGAGAAAGCCAGGCGGGGAGGTATCAGTCGATTTGGGGCGAGAAATCGTGGGGTGGGGGGATCAAGAACAGAGCCCAGAGGCCTGGGGGTGTCGGGGCCAGGTGGGGGCCATGCGGGGGGGTATCGGTTGATTTTGGGCGAGAAATCGTGGGGTGGGGGGCCCCACGAACAGAGCCCAGAGGCCTGGAGTCTTCGGGCCAGGTAGGGGCCAGGGGGGGGGGGGGGTATCGGTCGTTTTTGGGCGAGAAATCGTGGGGTCGGGGGTCCCAAGAACAGAGCCCAGAGGCCTGGGGGTGTCGGGGCCAGGTGGGGGCCAGGTGGAGGGCGTTGGTCGTTTTTGGGCGAGAAATCGTGGGGTCGGGGGTCGCAAGAACAGAGCCCAGAGGCCTGGGGGGTGTCGGGGCCAGGTGGGAGCCAGGTGAGGGGCGTTGGTCGTTTTTGGGCGAGAATTCGTGGGGTGGGGGGTCCCAAGAATAGAGCCCAGAGGCCTGGGGGTGTCGGGGCCAGGTGGGGGCCAGGTGGGGGGCGTTGGTCGTTTTTGGGCGAGAAATCGTGGGGTGGGGGAGTCCCAAGAACAGAGCCCAGAGCCTTGGGGGTGTCGGGGCCAGGTGGGGGCGAGGTGGGGTGCGTTGGTTGTTTTTGGGCGAGAAATCATGGGGTAGGGAGTCCCAAGAACAGAGCCCAGAGGCCTGGGGGGGTCGGGGCCAGGTGGGGGCCAGGTGGGGGGCGTTGGTCGTTTTTGGGCGAGAAATCGTGGGGTCCGGGGTCTCAAGAACAGAGCCCAGAGGCCTGGGAGTGTCGGGGCCAGGTGGGGGCGAGGTGGGGGGCGTTGGTCGTTTTTGGGTTAGAAATCATAAGGGTCGGGGGTCCCAAGAACAGAGCCCAGAGGCCCATGGGGGTGTCGGTGGCCAGGTGGGGGCCAGGTTGGGGGCGTTGGTCGTTTTTGGGCGAGAAATCGTGGGGTCGGGGGTCCGAAGAACAGAGCCCAGAGGCTTAGGGGTGTCGGGGCCAGGTGAGGGCCAGGTGGGGGGCGTTGGTCGTTTTTGGGAGAGAGGTCGTGGGGTCGGGGGTCCCAAGAACAAAGCCCAGAGGCCTGGGGGTGTCGGGGCCAGGTGGGGGCCAGGTGGGGGGCGTTGGTCGTTTTTGGGCGAGAAATCGTGGGGTCGGGGGTCCCAAGAACAGAGCCCAGAGGCCTGGGGGTGTCGGGGCCAGGTGGGGGCCAAGTGGGGGGCGTTGGTCGTTTTTGGGCGAGAAATCGCGGGGTCGGGGGGTCTCAAGAACAGAGCCCAGCTCTGGTCGGACGAAAGAGTGCTCGTTGTCATATTCATTGTTTTGCCAGTCGGCGCGGGCCCTGGCGCCCCCCTCCCCCTCCCTTGAGTAAATCTTGGCTTTTTGGGAAGCCTGTTTCAAGCAGGCGGAGTCTCCCACAGGACGCACTGTTGCAAACAGTCGCGCTAAGCAGAGGTCCAGAGCCAGGCCCCCCCCCCCCCTTCCGCCCAATGTCGAAACGCCGAATAAGAAAACGTTCACAAAGGGATTGGAAGAGGGGAACCGCAAACTCTGCTGCGTGCAGCTGGTTTCGGCGCCGCCGCCGGGCAACTCCCTCGATGCATGACTGCCCAAGGCTGCGGGAGCCTCCTTGGGAAAACAAGCGACCTGAGCTGATCTCGGGGCTCAAGAGACGGGGGCCAATGCAAACGGCGGTCGGCCAGGGCCCCTGATCTTGCAGGAGCCTGCAGAGCCAGGGATGCACTGACCCAGGCTTGGGTGCAAGATCCTGCAGGATCCTGCAAGACCCTGCAGGATCCTGCAAGATCCGGATGGACCCGGGTTTGGACTTACCCCGGCCAGTGCGTCCCCGACGCTTTGCTAACCCTCTCTCTCCGGTCCCCCCTTCTCTTCTTCTTCGAGGGGCCTCTGCGGGCCCTCGGGGGGCTTCTGGAGGCCTCTGGAGGCCCCCCGACTCGGGGAAATAAGAATGATATAAACATGTAAAAAAAAGGTTCGCGCAGATTTCTCGCATTGGCGCTGGACCCCCTCCGTGGCGCGCGGAGCGCGCCAGGGGTGCTGCCTCCGGCAGTCCAGCGGGGATCCGAGAAATCCGCGCGGACCTCCGAGTCCTGACGTTTCTGGCAGCCTTCGTTCTCCCACGGAGGACCCCGCCGCGGCCCCCCCCCCTCCTCCTGCCCCATGCGGGTGCTGGCAGGGGCTCTTGCCTGCCGCGGGGTGCCCCCAGCTCATGGGGCCGTCGCGGGGCCTCGGGGCGCGGCCGCGGCCTCGGGCCTTTCTGGAGGCTCCTCCGGGCAGGGCACTCTGGTTGGCAGCAGGTCGCCCCCCCTCTGGCTCGCTCGCCTCCCTCGCCCCCCTCGTCCCCTCTCCCCCATCCGTCCCTCGGCCCTTCCTCCCTCCCCTCTCCTCTCTTCTCAGGAGGGGGAACACACACACACGCACGCACGCACGCACGCACGCACGCACACACACACACACACGCACACACACACACACACACACACGCACACGCACACGCACACGCGCACGCGCACGCGCACGCGCACGCGCACGCGCACGCGCACGCGCACGCGCACGCGCACG